GAAATTTTGCAAAATTTCAGATGCGGCTTCAAGAACTCTTTTTTAGTAATCAAAAGCTTAGGGCTTACCGCGTGGTTAAACAAGTCCTTGAGTGTAGAGCGACGTGTTTCAGTAGCGGCTGCTAGAATCGAGATTTGTTGGGAGATTACCTGTAAGAATTTTCTCCTTTGAAAAAATACATCATCGACGAACATCAAGGCCATCAAAAAGTACCTTCAGTTCATTTTCAATTTTATTTATGTATTTTATAACAGCATTTTCACTCTTAATTTCTGACAGAGGAGGCTCAACTTCATCGTATGATTCCAACGTGTGGGATACGCTAAAATTAACGTTTGAATAAGGAAAAACTTCATTTTTTAAAAAATTTTTGCTTACTGCAAATGTCTCCCATCTTCACAACAATCCATATAATCCATGTCTGAAGTGGGAAATGGTGATGAGGAATGCGAGCGCGTATCGCTGTGACTGTGATCTTCGTCGCCATTCTGGAATGCAGAAATCCGAAACGAAGTAGCTGCAAGGTACTACAAGCTCACCGACCACTTCCTGTGGTTTTATGGGATCGTGAATTTGCTCCTCCATTAATGTTTCACTTCTGCTTTTTGATTTTATATTTGTCGGATATAGTCCCAACATGGCAAATTTAGGTAGCAGCTTGTCAAAAAGCTCATCTTGCGTCCATCCCTAGATGTTGGAAGCAAAGTTTTTAGCTTTAATCTACCTTATGAGTAAATAATAAGCTCATCTTACCTTTGTGTTGTGCTCTTTGTTGGTAGACATGATTTTCGCTATTATCTTGCTTATGTATGTAGCTTTCGCTTCATTACGATCCATGTCTCCGAGATTTTTCCATGCATTCCTGGAAAAATTCTCTTTAAGTTGAAATTTTGCTTGGTTAATTTAAAATAGCCATTTATTAGCAAAATACTATTTGGCTATGTAAGTGTAAATTGCTTTTCCCAAAATTTGTTTCCTCAAGTCGCTTTGCTAAGTTCAACCGACCATTTGAACTTCTCAACAACGTTCCAGAACCCAGGTTGAGGTATATTGCAAGGACCAACCGTTGCCTGTTTGTAAAGGGAATAAAAGGCCAACTTCTCGTCGTTTGTTGTCGTAACGGGACCTGAACAACAAGAACACGATAAGCCATATTAATAATTTGGGAGTACGGTGAAACAAGAAAGTTCAAGCATGCTCATAAAGGAAAACCATATTCTGCCCTTCTCTGCAGCGCTTTTTGCCTAGGCAGGGTCAAGGCAGGACCTCTGCTTATGGCCCAAAGAGAAGTATTGCAGAAGAAGTGGAAGTGCTAAAAATTGCCGAGAGTGTTTCGAGTTTTGCCACCATCTTCCTGCCGATATCATCATCAGTTACTACTCTATGGACTAACAATGAGGAATCTTCATTTTTATAAGTACTTATACAAGTTTGAATTGATGGCTTTCCTGAAATTTCATTTTGTTACAATTCGAAATTACTTGTCAAAAAGCTGCAAACTATATTTCTTAACTTATAACTAGGCACAGCTCCAAAATCCAAGGTTTAAAGATCTTCGTTGCACAGAGCAAGCACAATACAGACATAAACTTTGACGAGACATACCCTCTTTAGGCATATTTTGTACAATTTCAACAGCAGCCAAGAACTTGTCGTCGAGCGGAGTATTTGATTCCTCTGAAAGTTGAAAGAAGCCAAGTTCCATTTCCATATCTATGGAACAAGACTCTAGAAACAAATAAGGAGTCTAACTTGTAGAGAACGATATATCCAACGAAACAAAAGAATAAAATTTCAAATTTAGGATTATATACATAGAGGGGAAGGTAAGTGCTAAAGTTGAGATAAGAAAATCATCCTTTTTTTCGACAACAAGAAGAATGATGGGAAGGATGATGATTAGTGATTGAGAGCATAGCCAGATTTTGAGAGGGTAAAAAGAATTTTCTTCACGCAAATATAAAAATGAAACAGCGGAAATGAGGGCTTCTTAAATTGACAAAATTGCTGTCGCTCAAATTTCAAGTTGATGTTAATCATCTTATTCCTCTAGTTTTGGAAAAAGTTTTTTTTTATAAGAATGCCACTTAACGGCTGAGTTTTGGTCTTCCACGTCGTTCGTCTTAACAACCGCTCTTTCCACACCTACACCTACAATACCGCTCATAATTTTTGCAAAAGAAACATGATTTTACGTAAAAATCCGTCGCAAGCGTCGCATCGTTATAACTCCTTTCATATAGAAATTTTTTAAAAGTAAAAGCGATGTTAGGCTCAGCTCGTCCAGACGAATCTCAGGG